GCGATGAGATGAGATCAGATCAACAAAGCGAGTTATGTGCTTGTGTTTGTTAAGTTGTGAGGTAACAAATACTGTTTGCAGGTCCAAGTCTCTACTCTTCAAGCGAGAACTCAATCAATCATTTCACCCAAGTTAAACTCAATATGGTGTCTATCTAACAGCACAGCGTGAGTGTATATAAGCACCGTTTGTTGTTTGCGTTTGGAATCGTATAGTGTGCTTGCATCCAGAAATGGTGACGTCAGACTAAACAAGTGGATTGATTAAGTGTCAATACACAAAAGTGCTACTGCAGAAGGGAAAATGTACAAAATCTTGAAAAAAGACATGCAGGTATAGAATGATATGAGTATGGATACATGAGGACAGAATTTTAACATTAAGGTGAACAACTCGTTTAATAATTATCATAAATACTTTAGCACTGGCACAATCATACATATTAATAAGGAAATGAATCCATGTTGATTACCAGTGTTTCTGAACACAATGTGAGCTGGGCGGTCCTTCATGGTGAGGTCTAGGGCAGAAAGACCCTCCTTGTCCTGGATGGGCAGTGCTCCGCCACGCTGGAACACGAATATATAAACACGGTGCAATAAAAGAAACCAATGAACCAATGGAATGGGGAGGAAAAGATTAAGCTGTTCTGGTGACTCACATTCCACAGAAAGCTGTTGTAATTCTCAACAGTAACTGACTGATGTATCACCCAGGCCAACTAATCAGGCATTGTTTGCTTATTTTGAGATTACTGGCCCATGAATATAATACCCACTTGGCCAAATTAACAGACGTGGACTATCACTAACATGTCCATTCCAAAATCAGCCAGTTTTGGATGGGAAAAAAAGCTAACTGTTTGTTTTCAGTTCATTTTAAAAGGTGAAGTGTGCACAGTGTTGCCAATCTGCGGTTTTCCTGCGGAATTGGGCTACTTTAACACTGTTGTTTTTCATGTCCGCAGGTTGAAGCGACCCCAATAACATGATATTTAGCCCCTGCAATGTGAATTTTACCAGAGGAACCTCGCCAAAAAAAATTATTTTACCCTCCAGAATGTGATTTTTTAACCGGGGGACCCACCTCGAAACACCATTGGGCTAGATTTGAGTAGCAATTGGGCGGGTTTTGTTGTGAAAACCTGGCAACCCTGAGTGTGCAGTTTCTGTGCCTCTATAATAATAATACTAATTTGTTACATTTATATAGTGCTTTTCTGGGTACTAGAAACACCTAAATGAACTGCAATTTTATTTTGAATTTTGTGCACATCATTTCACTTCATCAAGGCTGCATTTATTTGATGTTTTTAGTTTGTGTTTTTGATGAATAGAAGGTTCAAAAGAACAGCATTTAATTGAAATATAAATCTTTAGAAACTTTACAAACGTCTTTACTGTCACTTTTTTCAACAGCAGTTTTCAACATTGATAATAATCAGAAATGTTTCTTGAGCAGCAAATCAGCATCTTAGAATGATTTCTGAAGATCATGTGACACTGAAGACTGGAGTAATGATGCTGAAAATACAGCTGCGCATCACAGGAATAAATTACATTTTACAATATATTAACATAGAAAACACTTATTTTAAATTATAATAATATTTCACAATATTACTGTATTTTTGTAATAGAGACTTCTTTCAAAAACATTAAGAAATCTTAAATACTCCAAACTTTGACCAGTAGTGTTTATGGGCATTATACTGGCCATCGGTCACCCTTCTTTCTAAATACTGTATTGGCAGCAGTCAGTGAAACACTCGTATTAATGAAGCCGTGCTCACCTTGATGAGCCCCATGAGGCAGTGAATTTGCCCGTAGAAGGCGCTGCGGTGCAGTGCGGTCCACCCAGACTCCTTGTCCTTCGCCAGCATGTCGGCGTGTTTGCTGTCTAGGAGCCACTGAAGCAGGTCACGCTTACCCAGAGAGGCCGCGAGGTGCAGAGCCGTGCGCCCAAACTCGTCCCGCAGGGTAGCTGCATTGTGACAGTGGATGGACAGAAAGCCCTGCAGACGGCCCTCCGAGCCGCTGGTCAAAGCGGCGATCACTTCCTCTGCGTGCCTCACAGAGCGGCACTTCGGTGTGCAGTCTGGGCTTCCCAGACTCATTTTAGCTTCCCACCCGCTACGTTACAACCCCAAAACACCCACACGCTTGTGCTTTAACTTCTCAGACTAGCATAGAAATTAATTTATCAAATAACTGCAATAAATTAAAGAAAACAAAATGAAAAGAAATAGGGAATAGGTTTAGCCTTTCTGTGAATTCGGGGCGCTAGACTTGTGCATGTGTTGAGGTTCCACAGCACCCTAGCGGCCCCAAGAGTGAAGATCTAGCTCATCTCAATCCACCATGTCGGCAACACTTTCCACAAAACCTTTGGAACAATCATTGGCATCAAAGAAAATACTAATTTCTCTGTACAAAAACATACAAATATATTCCAGTTTTCTCAAAAAAAAAAAGTTAAATTGTAATCTATCTATATATCGTATTTTACAAAAGACAAACCCTGTACTGTCCATTCAAGAGTCCATCAACTTTGAGGGGAAAGACTCCTTCCCCCCAAAACGCTCCACCACTTAAGCCTCCATAATTGCAAAGGGTGCCTGAAAAAGAAAGAATGGCTTTCTGATTAATATCAACAACTTCATTATACAACAATACCACAAAAATGGCAATTAAACTGCAAAATTCACCAGATCGTACAAAGTTATGCCTTTATTCATGACTAGACTAGGCTGAAAATGTAACTAATTTTCCTAAACTTCACCAAAATTTACTAGGCTGAAAACCACATAAAGCACTCAAATTAGTTCTGTTTTGTGTAAAATTATACATAACATATATGGGTTTTTTCTTTAGCCTAGTTATGGATGCTTTTTGTTTTGTTTTTTGGGGGGGTTGAAATTCAACCATCCTTAAAATAAATAAATAAATCTTGCTTTTTAACAACAATATTCCACAGTGGACTTTGTTGAGATTATCATAGTTTTAATATATAATAAATATCAAATGGATGGTCATGTTTTAAGATTGGGTCTGAGGCAAAACATTAAATATATACAACAATGGCATTAGAAAAGTAGTAATAAAACATCTTCAGTAGTAAGTAGTAAAATAAACAAACAAACAAAAGTTTATAGAATAATGCAGAGTTTCCAAGTCAGTGTTTAACGTAATCTTCAAACCTGCTAGTTAATAACAAAAATAACAGTTGAAGAAACATTATGAAGTGCTGCACTTGTAGTTTGACACTTTCCAAATACCCCCACCATCAGCTAAATATGGCTTCAACCATCAGTTTTTGGATATTACTGATCCTTTTGTGATCATAAATGTGTTTAAATCTAAAAAACTGAGCAAACGATTCAGTTCAAACCATTTGTTATCATCTGGAGACCGCAAACCTCTCTCTCTTTAAATGTAACGTCAGGGACATTACACTGACGATCAAGCTGTAATATTTAGTGGAAATAATGAATACATAATATGATATGACATAATAATGGGTGAGATCTGTCATGAAGTCTGTTCTGAGTGACTGACACATTATCATATTTATGAACCATATTGGGCTGAACTATGTATTGAAACACTGCCAGATTAAAAGACAAAGCGCTAATATCGCTCGCTCACCTGACGCTAGATGAAAGAAAAGGCCATGTTTGTGTTGTCCCCAATGCGGCAGATCCACAGAAACATCTTTAAAGGAAATTTATTGATGTTTTGCAGCAAATATGATGCAGCAGAGTTAGTCGGTTAAGACCTAGAAGTGTAGACGCATGAGTAAAACGATTTCTGATTGGCCCATCAGACGTGTATCCTCCTTACATTTCATTGGACAGTTCAACTTGCAGACTTGTATCGTTATTTGTCATTGGACGGCTCGGGGTGTTAAAGGGACTTCACAGTTTGCGCTTGTGACACAAACATGTCTTATTTTATTGTAAACATTCCAGTTATTTATGATTATGAGCATATCTTGTTGACGGACTACACTGTATGCAGGTTGCTAGTGTCATGGCGAGTTGGCAAGGGAGTCCCCCTCTTGCGTCAGCTCAGTGGGGGCGGGGCTTACGGGGCATACCTAACACATGAGTCACATGACTCATTATCATATTATAGATAGATAGATCATAGATAGATAGATAGATAGACAGACAGACAGACAGATAGATAGATATATAGATAGACAGATAGACAGACAGACAGACAGACAGACAAATAGATAGATAGATAGATCATAGATAGATAGACAGACAGACAGACAGACAGACAAATAGATAGATCATAGATAGATAGACTGAAAGACAGACAGACAGACAGACAGACAAATAGATAGATCATAGATAGATAGACTCATAGACAGACAGACAGACAGACAGACAGATAGATAGATAGATAGATAGATAGATAGAAGAAACTTGTGTTAATGCCAATGAATCCGAGTGGAATAATTGAAAAATAATTTGTATGCCCCTTTGTAAATAAATAAAGTTATTTCGATTATTTTAATTTACTCTTGCAAAAGTAATTATACAAAATTACTCAGAAACATCATGATTTGTATAGGCTACCTTTTTTTAAATGCATAATAAACATTTGACACTCGTATTTATTTAGTCATTTATTATTATTATTATTTAGTCATTTATTAGACGCTTTTATCCAAAGCGACTTACAAAACACACATGCTAAAAAACAACAACTTACTTACACATAGTAAGAAATGGTTATTAAAACTGAAACAGAAGCGAAACATGTAGTAGGAAAGAGGAGAAATAAAAAGCGATACTTATTATATAAGTATAATATATATATATATAAGCGATACTGTATTTACACCATAAATACAGGTTTGTATTCATGGTGTCTATTGGTCGTGTCATGTTTATAATGTTTTCTATAGAATGTGTAACTATTAGTTTATTTACCTGCACATTCCCGTAAAAGAATGTAACATTTGGAAAACGTCACAACTCTGCTGGATTTTGCTGGATCTTGTGTGTGGTCCCTGACGCCCCCTGTTTGCTCCTGATGGTACAGTCCAGTGTATAGCGCTCAGCGTGGATCCAGCGATCGGCGGGGGGAGAGTCAACATCACAGCGAGCGGCGGGGCGAGAGTCAACATCACAGCGAGCGCAGCGGGACAGTGAGATGCCGAGCCCCGAGCATTACACAAGACAAGACACGGCGAATCACACGGTTACAGCTTTGTGGATCTACGGTGTCTTTGTTTAAAATATCTGGAACTTTAATAACAACTCGGACTTTTTGGACAGGATTCGGTCGAAGGATTGGGAGAAACTACTTTTGAAGAAACTCGTTTTGGTATTCTGGATTTGAAAAAGAAGTGACGATACAAACGCACAAAGTGAATAAATGCATCTCGGATCGTTTGCTTCCTACTGCTGCTGAGGAGGTAAACGTCCAAGGAGCTATCCTGAATGAAAGAACAGAGAAAAGGATGTGAGATTTTACGTTAAACGGTTGTTTGAGAAGCGCGAGTACGTTGCTTTCAACTCTGTGGAGAGAAATACTTTCCCGCCGTTTGATTTACGTTGCTTCAAAATGTCCGATGTTGGATTACTGCATTTGCTTCAACTTCAGAGTAAACAAAGGAACATGTGTAACCTGACTCTCTGTGTTTTACTCTTCCTGACGTGTTCCTGCTCGCCCTTATCTTCATGTCCTGCCCAGTGTTTGTGTGAAACCACGGTGGTGAACTGTGTTAGCCAAGACTTGACATCCATCCCACAGCCCCTTCCAGAAAACATCACCGCGCTTATCATCAATGGAAACGATATAAGGAATCTGAACAATGAATCTTTCCCCAGGCCGCTGGAACATTTAACAAACCTTTATGTGTCTGGAAGCCAAGTGGAGCAATTAGACTCCATGGTGTTTAAAAACTTGCCAAGTCTGCGTTTACTTGACCTCAGCAACAACAGGATTTCACAGTTCAGCGTTGAGGCTTTACCTCAAGACAACAAAATCGAGGTTCTAAACCTCAGCAAATCCTTATACAATCACTCCTACATCGGTGTGTTTGCAGATCTATTCAAACACCGCCTGCCTAAGGTTTCTCATCTTGATTTGTCCAATAATGACCTGGTGCTCCTTCCAGAAGGCATATTCGCGGGTTTGTCGGACCTCACTGTTTTGGATTTGAGGAACAACTCCCTTGTTACAATCAGGAATGATACGTTATGCAATCGGGCACTTAAAGAGTTGGACTTACGAGACAATGCGTTGAAAGTCCTGCCCAACGTGACCCTAGAGAAGCTTGGTTCAATCTCTGATTTGCGAGTCAGACTCGCAGGAAACCCCTGGCGCTGTGATTGCAATATTGAGGACATGTTGATTTGGTTGGCGAAACATGAGTTTGTGGTAGACAGCTTCAACCTAACCTGTTCTGGCCCGGCTAGACTAAAAAATGTCCCACTTTTAACCCTGATACAATCACAGCTCTCGTGCTGGAGCAACGCCGGAGATGCGATGGACCGTGTGCTGGAGCCCTCCTATGTGTTCTTGGGGATGGTTCTTGCCCTCATTGGGGTCATCTTTCTTCTGGTCCTTTACCTTAACAGGAAAGGGATCAAGGGGTGGATGTACAATATCCGTGACGCGTGCAGAGATCATATGGAGGGATACCATTACAGATACGAGATCAACTCTGACCCGCGGCTAGCCAACCTCAGCCTCAACTCCGATGTGTGACGAGACACATTTGGAGAACTGGCTTGCACAACTGGCACGCAATGATCAGACGCTAGCTTTGCATGAATACATATATAACT